ACAACACTCAAACACAGGGGAACTCCAGACAAGAAACAATCAGGGCCAGCTAATCACCTCAACAAAGGATTCTCCCTAAAAACTGTCAGGCTATAAAATGGTAATCAAGGTGGCCAATTGAAACATTCATACCTACCTCCAACAGACAAGAGTTCTTTCTCCCACCGTGGATCTTCCACAATTTTCCTAGTTAAAAGTTTTCCTCTGACATGAAGTCCAGTCGTGTCTGACTCTGGGGTGTGGTGCTCATCTGCATTTCTAAGTCGAAGAGCCGGTGTTGTCCGTAGATACCTCCAAGGTCATGTGGCCGGCATGACTGCATGGAGCGCCGGGGCCGCCTCCCTTGTCTGGCTCACGCTGCCCATCGGGCCTGACAGATAGCGTGAGCCTGCCAAGGGAGGATTAGCCCTGCGCAGCCTACTCGCGCGTAAAGCACCTTGCGAGTTGCTTTACGCGTGAGTAGGCCACACTGAGCAGCTGCCCTTGGCTGGCTCACACGGCCCATTGGGCCTGACGGATAGCGTGAGCCAGCCAAGGGAGGGGCACTCTGTGGGGAGGGGGCGCTCTTCCTCCGCGGGCTGGATAAGTGCCCTTTGCGGGCCGGAAGTGGCCCACGGGCCGTAGTTTGGGGACCCCTGGTGTAATGTATTCATGTCTTCCAATGGCGGCTCGTATTCTTTCTCCTTCCTGCAGGTACGTTTCGGTTAAAATACGCTCCACCAGCTGAGAGTTTAGACTCCACGGACTGACATGAACTCCGGACTTTTTGCTATTCTGCGATGGCCATGCCATTGGGATGATGAGGAGCCTTCAGAATTGGAACCTGGGAAAAGTCCACTCGTTGAGCTTATTAATGTTATTTTTTTAATCCAAAGGTGCTCTACTTCAACACTAAGAAGGAACTGAAGCTAAAGGGGTTTTTTGTCAGTCCTGTTTTTACCCATTTGCCAAAATTATAACGCGGGATTTTAAATTAATGTCGGACCTTTTCGGACGGGAGGCGGAACTTGCTGACCAGCTACGCTTTCCGTCGCGATGCAAACAGAGCTGCACTTTCGCCGAAGAATGTTGCCATACTTTTTGACCTTTGATGCTGGAAACTCAAACTCCTTGGGCAGCTATACATTGTAATGTGGAGTGAGAGGTTGAAGGTACCGTCGCCAATTGCCTGCTGGACTCGTTAAAGACATTTCGGGGCTCAGCCGAAACTCCTTTTTCTCGTCTCCTTTTTCTCACACCCGGCCCTACACTCTGGGATTCCAAAAGTTTGCACTCCAGAAGAATGTCCCGTTCTGTCTCGACCACGGAGACCAGCGCGAGAGGCGCGCCATCAGTCGGAAACCGGCACCAGCAGGCTATGTGAACTCCTAACAATAAAGAAATCTTAATCCCCTCTCTCTCAACCCAAAAGAACTAAGGTGGAAGTTTGCTTTCATTCTGGAAACAGTTCTATCCTGTGCTTGTCAAGCAGTTGTTTCTAAATAGAACCAAGTCGCCGGCTTCGGATTAGGTTTAGTTTCCAGGAGTTGAGTGCCAGAGACTGCGCTTATAGGGCTGGGAGGGGGAAGCCCTTCTTCGTAAGCTATTGATTACCTTACTATTGGTTTCTCTTAGCAGGAAACACTACTCTGCCTTTATCATGAATCCCAGAACTCAAGCTGTAGCGTTTTGAGTTTCAGAATGTGCTGACTTTTCTCGAGCAAATGTCTTCCCAGAAGGGCTTTTTAGGAATCGAGACGGACATTTTGCTCTGAAAGGCCTCCTTGGTTTCAAACGCATTACGGACTATTAGCATTGATAACTAGGTAGCATTCTGCTCCCACTAACTTTAAAGATAGGATTGAGTCAACAAAGCTCAGATAGCAGATCTTGCGTTGCCGTTGGCTTTCGTGGCTGGAATCACTGGGTTGCTGTGAGTTTTCCAGGCTGTCTGGCCATGTTCCAGAAGCATTCTCTCCTGGTGTTTTGCCCACATCTGTGGCAAGCATCCTCAGGGGTTTTGGGATCTGTTATTGTTTTATTTTGTTTCGTGTCGGGAATGACTTGAGAAACTACAAGTCACTTCTGGTGTGAGAGAATTGGTTGTCTGCAAGGACATTGCCCAGGGGAGCCTCCGGTGGCGCAGTGGGTTAAACCCCTGTGCCGGCAGGACTGAAGACTGAAAGGTCGCAGGTTCGAATCCAGGGAGAGGCGGATGAGCTCCCTCTATCAGCTCCAGCTCCTCATGCGGGGACATGAGAGAAGCCTCCCACAAGGATGATAAAAACATCAACATCATCCTGGCGTCCCCTAGGCAACGTTCGTGCAGACGGCCAATTCTCTCACACCAGGAGTCACTCCTGACACGGCAAAAAAACAAAAACCGGATGTTTTACCATCAGACAGGATGTTTATTTACTTTTAGATTGTATATAATATGACATACTCTGTTGTCTAAGATACTGTAAAAAGAGAGAAGAATGTATACTTATACATTTTGTAGGACAAATTTATAAATAAATAAAAAACTTGGAAAAAAATACCATCAGACTTGGAAACTGCAAGGCCATTCAGTGCTAATCAAGGTGATCAATTGTAGCATTCACACTTGTCTCAAACAGACAAGAGTTCTTTCTCCCACCCTGGACATTCCACAGATATATAAACCCTACTTGCCTCCTTTCCAACAGACCTCACCACCTGAGGTTTTTTTGTGTGTGTCAGGAACAACTTAAGAAACTGCAAGTCTCTTCTGGTATGAGAGAATTGGCCATCTACAAGGCGTTGCCCAGGGGACACCTGGATGTTTTGATGTTTTATCATCCTTGTGGGAGGCTTCTCTCATGTCCCTGCATGGGGAGCTGGAGCTGACAGAGGGAACTCATCCGCACTCTCCCTGGATTCGAACCTCCGACCTGTCGGTCTTCAGTCCTGCCGGCACAAGGGTTTAACCCATTGTGCCACCAGGGGCTCCATGAAGTCTATTAGAAACTGGGCAAGTGAGGTTTATATATCTGGGGAATGATGTCCATGGTGGAAGAAAGAATTTTTGTTGTTTGAGGCAAGTGTGAATGTTGCCATTGGCCACCTTGATTAGCACTGAATAGCCTTGCAGATGCAACATTTATCAGTGAGCATCTCTGCATAGAGGTCTGTTGGAAATGAGGCAACTGCACTATCTCTCTCTATCTATCTGTGTAATAATGTCCAGACAAGAACTCTTGTCTGTTTGAGGCAAGTGTGAACCTTAATTAGGGTTGAATTAGCACAAGTACGTTGACAATGTCAACAGAAAGGAGGAAACCATGAAAATGAACTAAATCTAGCTACCAGTATTGAAAAACTCTAAAATCAGGTCAGAAAATAAAGAACAACATTCAGAAAACTGTGGAATTCTAGACAGGAAACAATCAGGGCCAGCTAACACTTCCCAACAAAGGATTCCCCCAGCAGGAAGCAGCCAAGCCTTGAAGCTGCAAGGCTATTAAATACTAATCAAGCTGGCCAATTGTAACATTCACACTTGCTTCCACAGACAAGAGTTCTTTCTCTCACCCTGGACATCATTCCAGAGAGAGAGAGAGAGAGAAACCCAATGGTAGTTTGCAACACACCTCACAACCTCTGAAACTGCCTATCATAGATTCCCCCAGGCGGAAAGCAGAGAGACTTTGAAGCTGCAAGGCTTTTCAATGTTAATCAAGGTGGCCAATTGCAACATTCACACTTGCCTCCAGCAGACAAGAGTTCTTTCTTTCGCCCTGGACATCATTCCATAGATAGATAGATAGATAGATAGATAGATAGATAGATAGATAGATAGATAGATATAAACCCAACTGCCTATCATAGATTCCCCCAGGTGGAAAGCAGAGAGATTTTGAAGCTGCAAGGCTTTGCAATGTTAATCAAGGTGGCCAATTGCAACATTCACACTTGCCTCAAACAGACAAAGAGTTCTTTCTCCCACCCTGGACATTATTCCACGGGGATATAAACCTCACTTGCCTAATTTCCAACAGACCTCATAATCTGTGAGGCTGAGTGCCATAGATGTGGGTGAAATGTCAGGAGAGAATGCTTTTGGAACGTCACCATACAGCCCGGAAAATTCACAGCAACCCAGTGAATAGATCTTGCTTGCCAAAGTGAGGGTTTAGCATGAGGCTCATTGCAGTTTGGACGGCCTCGCGTTAATTCTGATGGGTACACACAAAACATAGGATACGCATCTGGTGAGCATTGCTCCCAAAGTCCTGCCGCTGCATAAACACGAAGTCGTGAACTCAATGGCTGTTTTGTTATGCAGGCCTTTAATTCTGGAAACGATGGTAGGAATTGCAGGAGATCAGCACTGTTTGTGTTCTCACCTGTTGCCTGGCGTTCTCTTCCTTGGGAGCATCCAATGGGTTACGTATTTTAAAAAGAACTTTCCAGGAATTGTCACGAAAACCAAGTCCAAAGCTGTAAAGAAAACACTCCTTTTTACCAACTTTACTTATTTCTATGCAACAAAGTATTAAAACGCTCCTCTCTTGATCTTCACTTCACCAAAACAGTATTAGAGACAGCATGGACCTAAGTTCGTTGGATTTAATTCCCAATGAAATCAGTGGGTTCTGAGTGTCTGAGTCATTTTAAGCAGCTCATGCTGTTTGGATCTAAACCAGTCCTGGGCCAGCTTGGGTCTTCCCTTCAGGTGTTTTGGACTCCAACGCCCACCATTCCTAACAGCCTCAGGCCCCTTTCTTTTCCCCCTCAGCCGCTTCGGGTGAAAATACTACCCAGGGTATTTTCTGACCACAATCTGGTGCTGCTTAAATCAAAGAGGGGACATTGGGAAAGGAAACCGTGGGAAATAAGCTTAAGTGGATGAGGGGGGGAAAGGAAGGGGCCTGAGGCTGTTAGGAATAATGGGAGCTGGAGTCCAAAACACCTGGAGGGAAGGCCCAAGTTTGCCCATGCCTAGAGTCAAAGCTATCTGCATATTGCCTCTTTCGGTGAATGCTTACTGTCTGGAATATGTGTTAAAATCCAAATATTTTCACAATTGGGAATGATGCAATGCCACACAATTTTGGCAGAACCAGAGCTTGGGAAAACTGCTAGAACTTCCCACCATTGCATTTCTACCACTTGGAAATTTGGGGTGTTGTTTTTTTCCTCCCCAGGTTAAAACAATTGCCAGCCATTCTGCTTTCAAGTCGAAACAATAGCCTGGGAAGTGAAGTTTTTAAAGGGCTGGTTGCCTTGTTTGCTGCTACAACTAGAGACAATCCAAGGCAAACCTATTGCAATTTGATTCCTCTTCTCCAGTGTTCCAACACAGGAGCATTGGTACAGGAGAAACCTAACACTATCGTACTTACTTGCTTACTTAGGTGATCCCTTGTAGCCCAAGGATGAGGGTCCTCCAAATGTAGTGTGTTGGCAGTGGATTCGTACTATAGGAATGTGTTGTCGAAAGCTTTCATGGCCAGAATCACTGGGTTGCTGTGAGTTTTACAGGCTGCCTGGCCATGTTCCAGAAGCGTTCTCTTCTGACATTTCTCTCACATTTATGGCAGGCATCCTCAGAGGTTATAAAGTCAATTGGAAACTAGGCTAGTGGGGTTTATATATATCCCTGTGGAATGATGTCCAGGATGAGAGAAAGAACTCTTGTCTGCTTGAGGCAAGTGTGAATGTTGCCATTGGCCACCTTGATTAGCACTAAATGGCCTTGCAGCTATAAAGTCAATCAGTGAGAGTATCTGCATAGAGGGCTGTTGGGAATGAGGCAAGTGGACTATCTATCTATCTATCTATCTATCTATCTATCTATCTATCTATCTATCTATCTATCTATCTATCTCCCTGTGGAATGATATCCAGAGTGGGAGCAAGAACTCTTGTCTGTTTGAAGCAAGTGTGAACCTTGATTAGGACCGAATTAGCACAAGCATGTGGACAATTTCAACAGAAAGGGGGAAACCATGAAATTGAACTAAATATGGCTGTCAGTATTTTAAAACTCTAAAATCAGGACAGTAAATAAAGAACAAAATTCAGAAAATGGGAATTTCTGACAAACTATTAGGGTCGGCTAACATCTCCCAACAAAGGTTTCTAGATAGCAATCAACCAGGCTTTGAAGCTGAAAGGCCATTAAATGTTAATGGTGGCCAATTGCAACATTCACACTTACCTCAAGCAGACAAGAGTTCTTTCTCTCACCCTGGACATGATTTCTCTCTCTCTCTCTCTCTCTCACTCACACACACACATATATATACACACCCCACTTGCCTACAGTAGTTTGCAACAGACCTCACAACCCATGAGGATGCCTGTCATAGATTCCCCCAGGCAGGAAGCAGCCAAGCTTTGAAGCTGCAAGGGATTCAGTGCTAATCAAGCTGGCCATTTGCAACATTCATACTTGTGTCCAACAGACGAGTTCTTTCTCCCACCCTGGGCATCTTCCCACAGATATATAAACCCCGCTTGCCCAGTTTCCGACAGACCTCATAACCTCTGACGATTTTTTTTCATGTCAGGAGCGACTTGATAAACTGCAAGTCATTTCTGGTGTGAGAGAATTGGCCGTCTGCAAGGACATTTCCCAGGGGACACCTGGATGTTTTGATGTTTTTACCACCCTTGTGGGAGGCTTCTCTCATGTCCCCGCATGGGGTGCTGGAACTGACAGAGGGAGCTCATCCACGCTCTACCTCCTGTTGGTCTTCAGTCCTGCTGGCACAAGGGTTTAACACACTATACCATGATGGGCTCCTACTTCTGAGGATCCCTTCCATAGATGTGGGCGGAACGTCAGGAATGCTTCTGGAACATGGCCATACAGCCAGGAAAACTCACAGCAACCTACTACAGTAATGATTAGCACTAAAGCAGTGGACCCCCAAATCCCACAGTTGCTAACAGCTGATAAGCTGGCTGGGATTTCTGAGAGCTGGAAGTCCCAAAACACCTAGAGGCCCAAAGGTTGGGAATAAAGACACTAAAGGATCTGAGAAGCTTCTGTTGTGAAGGATTGATCACTCAAGAGAAGTGACGAAAGAGAGCTTGCTTGCTAGACTTCGGAGAAGCAGTGTTTGCATATTGCAGTGTGTAATAGCCATTGTGCTATTTCTGGGATCCTTGTAAACAATTCACAGCATCAGAGTTTATTAGGGGAAGGGCTTTTCCGAATCCCTGAGCAGCTATCCTAGAATAATGACGTTGAAAGTACCCAGAGACCCTTCTCTACGGAAAGCAATTCCTTCAGTGCAGAGGATGCGGTTTCATGCTAATGCCCGAAACTCTGCAGCTGACTTAAATCCTTAAGCTGGTAGAGGGTTGTTGTTGTTACTAAAGAGATGCGCGCAACCCGTCTTAAGCTGCTTTCCTGGACGCGGCCAAAGACAGAAATTAAAAACAGCAAATTAATTCTGAAAGCTACCGCCATCATTAGAAGACTATTTCTTAGATGTCGGAGGAAGAGGAGCCTGCGAGCGTCTCTTTGTTTTTCCCAGATGTAAACTTTTCCATTAGGGATGAAGGAAAACCGAACTCTGCCCGTTTTTTTGTTTTTTGAGCCATCTTCTTTTACATCTAGTATTACGAAACATTGCATGTAAACTTTATATATAAATAATTAAAAAAAGTTTTGTAAATATTTAATATGCACCTAATTTCATTTTTTTTGCAATTGTACATGTCAAGTATTCTGGTTATTGGAATTTTTATGTTTTATGATACTTTGTTAAAAAGGTAAAACGGAAAAAAAATATTGTACGTTTTTAGAATGTTTTTATCTCGAGTCAATTTAATGTACTGGGAGGGAAAAATATTAAAAAGGCCAGATAGTAGTGTCTTTCTCCAGACAGCCTCGATTTAATAGGCTTGGTGTAAATTGCAGTAGATCATCATCTTCTAAGCCAGATATGGGCAAACTTGGACCTCCCTCCACAGTTTTGGACTCCCAACTCCCACCAGGCAAGGGCCTGAGGCTGTTAGGAATGGTGGGAGTTGAAGTCCAAAACACCTGGAGGGAGTCCAAAGTCGGTCCAGGCCTGGTGTAAAGCCTGGCATGGATCAGGTTGTGGTCAGAGAAGACCCTGGGTAGTATTTCCATCTGAAGCAGCTGAGGGGGAAAGGGAAGGGGCCTGAGGCCAGGAATGGTGGGAGTTGGGAGTCCAAAACACCTGGAGGGCCCAAGTTTGCCCATGCCTGTCCTAAAGGCTATGCATTAACACACAAAAGGCATGCTGCAGCCTGAAACACTGTTAAAGTAGTGTCTCGCTATCCAACCTTCCGTCTTATCCAACACACCCTTTTCCTCCAGCATTTCCCCTTCAATTACAATAATTAAAATTCAAATACTGCGCTCCCCAACTCTCTCTCCATTCCCAATAAGTGAAAGTTTGCCCATGCCTGAGTTAGACACTATCAATGAGAGTGATTGGTAGGCAGATTAGAAATATTTAGCAAGAAGAGAAAGTAGAGTCTGTCTTATCAGACCTTCGCTTATCTAACATTTCGTCTTATCTGACGCTCCGCTTTTCCTCCAGAATTCACCCTTCAATTAAAGGAGCATTCCCCAACTCTCTCCATTCCCAATAAGTGAAAAAGGCAAGACGAGGAGGGAGTAAAGGGGTAAAAGAAGCAGGACCGGAAGCAGAAATGTCCTCCCTCCTTCCCTCTGGGATTTCCAGGCTCCTCTTCCACATCCGGGCACTTCCTGCTGGGCCGCTCTTGCCCCGAAGTGTTGCCTTGCCTTAGCCTTTTGAGTCCCTGTTGTGTTAGTATTCCAGGTGTCTAGCACCGTGTCAGACATGTAATAGAAGACTGTATTATCCAACATTTTTGTTTATCTGACGTTCTGCTGGCCCATTCGTGTCGAGTAAGCGAGACTCTACTGTATTTCTTCCATTCTTATGTACACTTTCCCCTCTATATCAACGTCTCGGTTGTCTTAGAACCTCAGGTGTATTTTATGCATTTTTGTTAGTGGTGGTTTGTAGTGAAATGAAGGTGCATCTTACCATCAATGACATCTTACAACTGAAGAAACGTCTACTCTGGTGAAAACTTGGTATTCTGCTTGTTTCTCAATTTAACCTCTTGGAAGGCCCATTTCTCATCCAATGTTTCACCAATGGCTAAGCTCTAGCTTAGCTCCTGGCTATGCATTTTCTGATGTTGTTTATTAATTGGAATCATAGAGTCCTAGAGTTGGAAGGGACCTAGTGGACATCCAGTCCAACCCCATTCTGCCAAGAAGCAGGAAAATCACATTATAAGCACCATGGCTTCATGGGCTCCGGATAGATGATCTCCATCAATAATAGATTGCACATGGTTGTATGTGTCCTATACATAAAATGGTGGGCATGTGACTGAATATGCCAAAGTGGCCATGCATACATCATCATTTAATATTATGGGATGTGAGCACTAGCCTAGCACTTACTCCCTAGAATCATAGAATCCTAGAGTTGAAGAGACCTTGTGGGCCATCCAGTCCAAACCCATTCTGTCAAGAAGCAGGAAAATCACATTCAAAGCACCCCCAACAGATGGTCATCCAGCCTCTATTTCAAAGCCTCCAAAGGAGGAGCCTCCACCACACTTCGGGGCAGAGAGTTCCACAGCTGAACAGCTCTCACCGTCAGGAAGTTCTTCCTCATGTTCATTACATCCCAGTTTCCAGGGCAGCAGGAAACAAGCCTGCTCCCTCCTCCCTATAGCCTCCTCTCACATCTTGGCACATGGCCCTCACCCCGTCTCCTCTCAGCCTTCTCTTCTGCAGGCTAAACATGCCCAGCTCTTGAAGCCGCTTCTCATAGGGCTTGTTCTCCAGACCCTTGATTCTTTGAGTCACCATCTTCCGAGCACCTTCCAGCTTAGGGTCAACATCTGCCTTCAATTGTAGTGCCCAGAATTGGACACAGCATGGTTCCAGGTAAAGTGGTCTGATCAAGGCACAGTAGAATAGAGGGGGAGCATGACTTCCCTGGATCTAGGCTCTCGATTCCTATTGATGCAGGCCAAAATCCCATTGGCTTTTATATCTGCTGTACGATATTGGTGGCTCATGTCTAACTGGTTGTCCATGAAGACTCCAAGATCTTTTTCACACATACTGTTATTAAAAATATTCATTGTTAGCTTTACGATTTTCTGACCAGTCTCATTAGAAAAAGCATATCTGTATAATGGAACCTTTTTATAAAATTGTACAGCTGATAGAGCTGCAACCATTGGCTCTTCATGTTAGGCTGGAATTCCTGGTCATCCTTAGCCTGCCAAGTGGAGAGGGAAGGATTTGGGGAGATGTCGCCTGGCAAATAGAAAGTCTGATCAGATAGGATCATGACTAAAACTCTCATTCTTTATCAGTCACAACAGTATTTTAAGTTGGGTAATGAAAGGTCTGTATGCCACATTTGATCCAGATTCATCCAGCCATTTAAAAGCCTAATAGATAGATAGAGGTGCCATAATTTCTGAAACGGAAAGCTCTAATAGTGAAAGTGAGAATGAACTTGGTCGGAGTCCATGAGCTTTTATCTGCACCACCTTCCGCTTTCGGCGCACACTTCCAAAACAGGGTTTGTAAATAACCACAACTTGTAAACAATTCAGGACGGAATCATCCATATCAGCATATATATATTTTTTGTAAAAAAAGCAACATTTGTACAAGCAGCACTCAAGTGATCAATTAAAAGGATGGCTGTCTCATGAAAAAATCCTACGCTGAACAGTAGTAGACTTTAAATGAAATCTTACAGCAAATGTCGACAGGAGCAGGTACAGAATGGATGCATGCAAAGGTACACATATCATAGTGACACCCTACTGTGTGCCAACGTTTAGCGCGGCTCTCCTTCCCTAAGCGGAAGTCGGCTTGCTTTAAATGGAATTAAATGCACGCACATTTAACATACAAGGATAATAAGATTGCTATATTTCAGTGGGAAAGCAGGACGTTTACCTAAAAGATTACTTTTGCATAGGGCGCATCCTGCCTAGAGTAAAATTAAGATCGAGACCCCATGCAACAGACAGGAACCTGTTATCTCTGCTTGGTTTTGTAATCCGATGTTGCCCGGTTCAAACAAAAATAAATAAGCCTGTAATTCGCATGGAAGGAAACAAAACCACAGGTCTTTGAGTAAGGATACAGTGCAAACTTTGTTTTCTCTCTTTGAACGAAGGTAGAAAGATCAATACTTTGAAAAATAAGCTTCCAATTGTCATCCCCAAATGCGGCTCTCTCTCAAGATCTTCAGTCGTCACCTCCAGTCCCAACAGTAGGATTGAAAACCAGGCCTTTTTGCTGCAGGATGGCGATGGGATTTTGCAAAGCGTGTCTTAATCTGGAAGATTTCCTTACAGAACTGTTAATTGTTTTTAATTACACACACCCATTAAAACAAGTAAAGCTGTTGTGTTTTGAGATATATCTATCTATATATATTAATAATTAGCCATCTGATTTTGATTCTAATCTTCTAAAGTAGCTGTACGAGCAAATTCGCATCCTCCCTCCCAGACCCCGGTCACCACTTTGCATCAAACCACAAAGGAGTGAAACTCAGCTCAGTCTTTGACTCATAATCATTCCCTTTTCTCTTTGAGGAGCTGAAACAGAACTTAACAGGAGGCAGGGGAGTTGGGATACTACACATTTCCGTCCCGATGATTACAGCAAGAGGAACATCCCTTTTATTGGCAAATTATTAACACACATGGTTATGGGTCTCGGGCAAATCCCGGAGGCCTTTCAATGCCCGTATGAATGCATATAGCAGGTCTACGAAGCGGATCTACTCGTCCATAGTGGCATTCGTCTGTTCAATATCCACAAACAAAACAATGAAGTACGATGGGGATGCCCTCTAAGCAGAGCTAGTGTGAGAGCAGGTTGGTGGTGACATCCCTTTCCTTTTTTTTTCCTGTCGAAGGGAGGGAGGGGTAAGAACTATCCTAGGCTACAAGCCACCGAGGGGGATGGCTTACGCGGAGGGCTCCACGCCAAACGTTTCCTGGGAGGCGTACACCATGTACAGGAATCCATCCTCGTCCTTCTCGCTCTCGTACACCTCCGAAATGGGCGTCGAGACACTCACCATGCTGTGTCCGTTCACCAGCAAGAAGAAAGCCTGGTTGGAGTTCAGCTGCAGGCGGCGCCTGGAAGACAAGAAAGTGATCAATTAAAAGGATGGCTGTCTCATGAAAAAATCCTACGCTGAACAGTAGGATCCCTTCAGAGAATAGAAGGGATCCTTTGAATCTATATATAAATAAACATGTAATGTTTGTTTGTGGGTTTAACAGAACTCAAAAACCACTGGGAGAATTGACACCAAATTTGGCCACACGACACCTACTAACCCAAGGAGTGACCATGACTCAAAAATAATTGATTTTGTCATTTGGGAGTTGGAGTTGCTGGGATTTATAGTTCACCTACAATCAAAGAGTATTCTGAACTCCACCATTGAAGGAACTGAACCTATCTTGGCACACAGAACTCCCATGATGAACAGAAAACACTAAAAGGGTTTGGTGGGCATTGACCTTGAATTTGGCAGATGTAGTTCACCTACGTCCAGAGAGCACTGTGGACTCAAACAATGATGGGTCTGGACCAAACTTGGCACAAGCATTCAATACGCCCAAATATGAACACAGATGGAGTTTGGGGGAAATAGACTTTGACATTTGGGAGCTGTAGTTACTGGGATTTATAGTTCACCTACAATCAAAGAGCATTCTGAACCCCACAAACAACAGAATTGGGGCCAACTTCCCACACAGAACCCCCATGACCAACAGGAAATGCTTAAGGCCATCCAGTCCAACCCCCTTCACCAGGGCAAGAAAACATAATCAAAGCCCTCCTGACAAGGAACCATCAAGCCATAGATATAGATAGATATGATTCACACACACACAGATATAGTATCCTAGATTAGAAAGGAACCCCTAAAGAAGGACAAATATATGTTGCATGTTCCAGAGTAGGCAAACCAGACAATCTCCACATCAACACTAATAAAGAAATAGCAAGAAATACTGTTTACCCACAAAGAAATTACATATATTAGAAACCAACACGTTCTCATTATTTTATTTTCTAGATCACCAGGCTGGGCCACAGCAATGCGTGGCAGGGGACGGCTAGTAATATAATAATAATAAAATAATAAAACTTTATTTATACCCCGCCACCATCTCCCCAATGGGGACTCGGAGCGGCTTACATGAGGCCAAGCCCAAACAACAAATTAAAATAGAATAAAAACCAAAAACAGAAACAAAACAACAACATCATAATTACATACATCATATCAATACATAACAATAAAAAATCGATGACACAATCACGAGTTGTTCTCAACCTTCCTGATGCCCCTCAACCCCTTAATACAGTTCCTCATGCTGTGGTGACCCCCAACTATAACACTACTTTTGTTGTATTGTCGAAGGATTTCATGGCCGGAATCACTCAGTTCTTGTGGGTTTTTTCGGGCTATATGGCCATGTTCTAGAGGCATTTCTCCTGACGTTTCGCCTGCATCTATGGCAAGCTTCCTCAGAGTAGCAACAAACTACTTTTGTTGCTACTTCGCAACTCTAATTTTGCTACCGTTATGAATCGTAATGTAAATATCGGAGATGCAGGATGTATTTTCATTCACTGGACCAAATTTGACACACAAAAAACGATATGCTCAAATTTGAATACTGGTAGGTTGGGGGGGGGGGGTTGATTTTGTCAATTGGGAGTTGGAGTTGCTGGGATTTATAGCTCACCTACAATCAAAGGGCATTCTGAACTCAACCAATGATGGAATTGAACCAAACTTGGTAAACAGAACTCACACGGCCAACAAAAAATACTGGAAGGTTTCAGTGGTGAATTTTGGGAGTTGTGTTGCTGGGATTTATAGTTCACCTACAAGCAAAGAGTTTTCTGAACTCCACCAATGATGAAATTGAACCAAAGTTGGCACACATAACTCCCATGAACAACAGAAAATATCAGAAGGGTTTGGTGGGCTTTGACCTTGAGTTTTGGAGTTGTACTTCACTTACATCCAGAAAGCACTGTGGACTCAAACAATGATGGGTCTGGACCAAACTTGGCATAAATCCTCAATATGCCCAAATGTGAACATTGGTAGAGTTTGGGGAAAATAGACTTTGACATTTGGGAGTTGTAGTTGCTGGGATTTATTGTTCACGTACAACCAAAGAGCATTCTGAACCCCACTAACAATAGAATTGGGTTAAACTTCTCATACAGAACCCCCATGACCAACAGAAAATACTATGTTTTCTGGTGGTCTTTGGTGACCCCTCTGATGCCCCGTCACAAGCCCCCCAAGGGCCATGACCCCCAGGTTGAGAAATGCTGGAATGTTACATTTCAATTTGAAATGTAACATAGGGCTAAAGAGTAAGAGAAACCCTAGAGAGCACATGCGTCTGGCTCATTTTTCTTGAAAGCCATATCAGCAACTGAACAAGAGATTTGGGGAGTAGTTCACCCTGCGTTCAGAGCACTCTGAACCCCACCAATGACGGATCTGGCCCAAACATGGCACACAGTACCTTGGTGATCAACTGGACTTATTGAAAGGGTTTGGGGGAGGACTAACCCACCGTGTGAGTTGTAGTTCACCCTGCATCCAGAGAACATTCTGAAGCCCCCAATGACACACAGAACCCTGATGACCAACAGAACACACTGGAGGGGGGGGGGCGGAATGACCCACCCGTGTGGGAGTTGTAGTTCATCCAACAGCCATCAATGACAGATCTTGACCAAACTTGTCACAGACCCAACATGCCCAACTGTGAATACAGGTGGAGTTTGGGGGTGATTGCCCTGGGAATCTGGGAGTTGTAGATCACCTGCATCCAAAGAAACTGTGACCCCCACCAGCAATGGACCGGGACCAAATTTGGGACAGAGAAGTCCAATGACCAGTTGAACATACCGCAGGGCTTTCTGGGAATTGACCTTGATTGTGGGAGTTGTAGTTCTCCTGCACCCAGAGAGCACTGAACCCAGCCAACTTTGGATATGGCCCACACTTAGCACACAGACCCAACATGGCCAGCTGTGAATACAGGTGGGGTTTGGGGGTGATTGACCCACGATTTTGGGAATTGTAGTTCACCCACATTGTTATGTATTTTCTAATGGAAGCAATCATAAACAACAAAATGAAAGATTGGTTTTTTTCTAATCAATAGTGTTACTAATTAACTAAATGATATGACCTTTCACCGCAAAACAATGCTTTTTTCAAATAACCTGGGCACCGCCTGGTACCCAAACTTGTAGTAATAATAAACTCCACCACAGACATCAGAAGAGCTGCAAGACCAAGCACAAACCATAAGAGTTAAGACAAAGATCCACCCAGAGGAAAAGTGTTCTTGCCAGACATCAAGGGAACCACTGACCACATAAGGAAGCTGATGAAGAAACACAACCTACAAACTACGAGTGTTATCTGGAAAGTAAGGTTCCAAGGCATGTAGCTCTCACAGGGAATTTTCTCGGGGGAAGTTGGTTTCACTGCCGTGTAGTGGAGAGGCAGTGGAAGTGAACAAGCAGGGCTAGTCATCAGTAGCTCATCAACTAGCATAATCTGTTCACTAAATTTGTTGGAGCATGTAAGGAACCAGTGTGTGTGTGTGTGTGTGTGTCAATTTTAAAATAAGTTGCATGAAGCGGATTGATCAGGCTATGCCCAGGGAGCAGGCTGAGCCTGGGACTTTTGGTTACTGTTACATTTTTGTTCAGGCTTCAGCTATGCAGGTGCTTGGAGAAGCACAGAGACACACAGGCAAAGAGAGACAGAGTTTCGAGTGTGCTCTCACTTCATGAACACTCCAAACTGTGAAGGAGTTTATCCACATGGACAAAGAAAGACAATTTTAAATCTCTCATAAAAGGACATTATGTGAGTTGATGCAACAGACCCCATTGTACATATGTTGTTCTCAACTACGAAGAGTAAACTACTTGTTCTTTACTGTTCAACTGTGTGGCATATTTTCTTTCTCTGACAAGGCAGTGAGTGGGCTGATGAATCGTGAACTACACGTGGTTTGTTTTTACATTATGCCACAAAATTGAAGGAACACCTGGGTGGAAAACACTTTTCCAATGACAACGAAGAGGTTAAAATCAAAGTGACAAACTGGCTGAAAAAGGCGGAGGGAAAACTCATCCCACGGATGACAAAACATATTGAACTGAATATTGATTATGTGGAAAAATAATGTAATACCTAGGCTACAACCCATGTAAGTTTTACTAAAATAGATTCATTCTTTGTCTCTTAAAAAAATCTTGTAACCTTACTTTTCCAGGTAACTCTCATATATATAGACCCACCAAGAAAATCCAACAAATGCTCCATTCAGCAAAGGACAAGAGGGATCCTCTCACCTAAGGAGGAAAAGGAAGGGGCCTGAGGCTGGTAGGAATGGTGGGAGTTGAAGTCCAAAACACTTGGAGGGAAGGCTGAAGTTTGCCCATGCCTGGCTTAAATGACGAAGTTCCACAAATGACGAAGTTCCACAAATATATTACTTACCTGATAATCTTGATCAGTTCGCTCATGTTGACATGATCTGGGACCAGAAATTTAGTTTTGTCCAGAACAGGAAGCTGCTTCTCTCCTTTATACCTTTCAATGATTACCTGTGGAAAGATTACCAAAGTACAGATGGAATCAACAAGCTCTCCGTGAAGGCAGCGACCCTAAAATAGATGTTTTGTAATCTTATTGAAAATATATACTAGGTTTCTACTCACTGGTATCTTTGTTGGATGCTGCTCCCGGATAATTCGGACATCTTCTACTCTTTGCTCTATGGTTAGAAAAAAGAGAGTGAGTTGTGGCAAAAGTGCTTGAATAGGGATTGCCTGACAGCAAATCAATATCATTTATACCCTCCCTCTTTGGAGCTCTGATAGAAAAAAAAAGTTAATTTTCCATAACAGAAGCATACATACAAGCAAACCAGAAAAACACACATCAATTTTCTTGAGTTATTTGAAATACTGTAAATGCACCTAGGGTAATTATTTATTTTATTTCTCAACCTGTGGGTTGGGACTCCTGGGGGGAGGTGTCACGAGGTGGTGTCAGAGGGGTCGCCAAGACCATCAGAAAACATAGTATTTTCTGTTGGCCATGGGCATTCTGAGTGGGAAGTTTGTCCCGGTTCTCTCAATGGTGGGGTTCAGAATGCTAATACACTAATATAAAACACATTAAAATACAATCATATAATTACATAAGGCCAAGTCGTCTGAATAAAATCACAATTCATCCCCATCCGTCAGTGTGGTCAAGAGTTATTGACTCACTCATCAAATGCCAGATTCCAGAGCCAGGTTTTCACCAACTCTCTAAAGGTCAGGAGTGAAGGGGCAGTTCTAATCTCCAATGGGAGAGAGTTCCAGAGCTGAGGGGCCACCACCGAGAAGGCCCTGTCC